GTGATATTTCGCCGTAATACCTAGGTAGGTACTGATTAACCTTCTGGTGCGTTGGTACAATTCCATGCTTGAGTTTCTCCCATTGTCGTATACGATCGTAACTTTCTTCGTCGAACATTTCTTCATATCTTTGGTTGATGTCAACCCTAAAGTCAAGAAAATACCTACCAGGTGAACTGAACACACGAACTCAACTTTACGGTTTTCAAAATGATTATTGTATCACTATTTATACCGTTATCAATTCTACTATTGATGTGGAGCACAAGTGAGACGCAGTCGCAGCGGATTTCTTAATACACCCCTTATCCCTGAGACGGAGTAGGCGTGGCATTTGAACATGGCTTAGAATCGGTTGCTAGCGGGATATATCAGCATGAGTCAACTGTCACTTTGTTCGGTGATTGACAAAGACATGACCACAATTCTCTCAAAATAAAATATCTTTCCAGAAGCACAGCCACCGCCACGTTTGGTTGAACACGCCTACCGCATCTCTGGGATTTCGAGTGTATTGCGCTGATTGTACCAATGGCTGCACGCGTCTTGTGCAGGCATATGTCGCACTGAAGAAGCTCTGGGGCTCTACTAGTGAACATCAAAGTACAAGAAAAAAAAGAAAAGACAGCAAGAAAAGCTCTGCATGATTTCCAACAATTTAATTTTAGCGCAGGTTTGATCTACACAGTCTACTATTAGATTTCTTCGAGAACTAGGCAAACTCACCTTTGTGCATGGAGGAATTTCTGAAGCATATTGTCATGAGCAGGGTTCAATGGTTTTGCCCGTATTCGATCAATGGTTTCGCCCGTATTCGATAGCTGTCTGGACCTTCATCACCAAGTGTTTGCAGGCGACGGCTCACCACACAAGGCGTGCGACTGTGCAGTAAATCTGGAAGTGAGGTACTAAACGTGAGTCAAAGGATGAAATGAGTAAGCGTGGGTACGCTGGAGCACCTTCTCCTGTAGAGCAATTCTTACGGTAGAAACCCCAGAAGAACCTCTTATTTGGTCGGTGGAGAGGGCGAGTCGTGACTAGCCTGGAGAATTTTTTGAGAGATGATTTTTCTTTTTTCACGCACGCTATCCACAACATCGGTGGACCCACATTGGCGGAGGGGGGGCTCACAGTTGCCCCTCTCCACGGCAATCTCATTAGGGGAAACCAAAATTTTTTTTGAAAAAGTAGAGAAAAGGTTGGGGAGTTGGGAAACCTTAGGAAGATGGTAGCTAGCATGGTGAAGGGGGGGAGGGGCAGTCGTAGCAGAAAAAGGAACTTTGGGGTCGCGTTTTGCAAAATTCTTTTCAACGTCAGGAAGTGCCTATCTTTCCAGCTGCGTGATAGATGGCACAGAGTATGCAGCATTGAGGGACAAGTTAGAGCAATACGGCAAGGAGCTGCTATCAAATGCTAGCCAACAGCTGGTCATCGAGACTGTAGAAGACCACTGATATCCAGGAAGCACACCGGATCTCAGCGACGATTGTTTGTTCGGTGATTTTCGGTGATCGTTTGACGTTTCCGGTGTTTCAGCGGTGGACAGAGTAGCCGCCGATGACGGCGACGTACGCGCTCGCGCAGATGACATGCAGCCAAACACAGCCACGGCATGGAGTCCGGTCTGGCTATGAGAAATAGCTCGCCGGATGAGATGGGGCCGATGTCTGGCTATTTCGTATAAATAACCGGCGATTTTCCCAAAACCTCATCAGTTCGACTGCAGCAGCACTTCTAATGGCTTTCACAGCAAAATCAGCTCTACTTTGCTTTTTCGTTGGGGTACTGTACCTCACGCAGATTCAGGTGAATTCGCTATTCCATGTCATTCTTCAGCCTTAATCTACCCTGGATCACTTGCACCTTTTCGATTACCTTCCTCGTCATCCTTACCTTTTAGGCCCTTCCCATACCTGGAAACGACGCTGACATCTCATTCGCCTCCACGACGGAACTCATCCCTGCGAACACTACCGCAATTGACACCTTAACTGAGTCGGAATCCTCCCTTCGAGTGAAACGTCAAGGTGGCGGATGCGGCTGCGGTTGCGGATGTGGCTGCTGCTGCTGTCGACCTCGGTAAGTCACCGCTCATTCGATTTATACCGTCATATTTGCTGATTGCTTGCTTCAGCTGTTGTTGTACTTGTTGCCGAACCTGCTGTTGCACAAGATGTTGCACATGCTGTCGTCCATGCTGCTGCTGCGGTGGAGGTAACATTGCTGGTCCCAACCATTGCTCGTACCATTAAGTAGTCATCCTATCCAACCTTATCAGGTGGCGGTGCGGTTGCTGCGGTGGCTGCGGTGGCTGCGGTGGCTGCGGTGGTTGCGGATGCTGCGGATGTGGAGGTGGAGGACGCAAGCGCCGATCCATCCAGAACTTGAAGATCAAGCTTGCCGACAAGATTGAGAGAGAGCAAAGGTACGTCCACCTATTCACTATTATAGAAATGCCCTCTATACAGAATCCTATCCAGCTTCAGGGCCACTCTCCTCACCTTGCCAGCTTCTTCCGAGCAACCCGCTGAGCCAGTTCAACCTGAGCAGCCTGCCGTGCCTGCCACTCCTCAAGAAGCCATTCAGCCTACTCAACCTCAAGCAGCCAGCCCTTACCGGAAGCTCCAGCTCAACCAGAAGATGCGCTGGTCCTGGTCGAGTTCCCTTTCTCCAAACCGGACGAAAATACTCCGACTGAATGGCCACAACCAGTATTTGAGTTGGTCACAGAAACCTACTTGTAAATACAGAAGAGAATTGAAATTAATATCATTATTATATGGATATTTAATATGTATTGCATCGACTTAATAAATCTATAATATTTAAAGTGTTGGACGAACACGTCAAGAAGTAAGCTCACATCACCGACCAGGTTGACCAAGTACTCCACCTGGGAGAATGCCCCTTCCAAGCCAACAGCGCCTGTTCTGATTATCCTTGAGTTTAAAATCAGCCCATAATTGTAGGAAGGTAAAAAAAGGTTCTCACCAATTTGATTCGACGATGGATGTCCAATGTTGGCTAGGCGTACATAAAGCAGCGCCACCACTCGTGCCGCCTGTGCAGGCAGCGCACTGAAAACCACAGGGCACTGGACAGTGCATTGTACGGCTTCTTTGCCACCTCGCAGCAGACTCTAAAAGAGGAACAACCAGTTCTCTGATATAAACGAAGCTTCAGTATAAAAAAATGCAGGGCAACAAATAACACGCTTTACCTGAAGTGGCACATAGGATGCGCCGAGATAAATCAAAGACTCTGCATCCCAGGATTCAATACAGAGTGAGTTTGTGCTGAGGTAGCTGATGAACTCATCGCGATCGTCCTCGTTTTGACGTTGTCGATCCACAAGATATTTCGCCTTAATATTCAGGTCATTTCAACAAAAAATGAGGAACCCTTCATAAGGAGGGTCGTATTTAGCCCGCGTAGTGGCTTTTTTTTGACAGAACGGTATGGAGATTTCCGTGAAGAGCATTAACCCTCCTAGAAAGCGTTTAGTACTCACTGCAAAGCCAGCTCCATTTTCTTTCTGTTCTTCACCATTCTGATTCAGTCGCATCAAAATGCTCGGTTCGCCGTTGGTGTTATTTCGATTCCGAGAGTAAAAGCCTGAATAGTGAAGTAGATACACAAATGTGCATTACCATTGACAGATTGACAGTGTGGGTGGAGTGAGGCCTACCGTCCTGCCCTGCTCATTGTTTATGCTCCTTTCAGAAAAAGGTGCCAGTGATTGCAATTAGGCGTGAGTATACTTTGACTAATAGGAGTAGGTGGAGCTTATCGTATTCTCATTCACTGGAAGCGTTTTTTGAAAAGTAGATATATTAATGTAAATTTGGGCGCTGATGACTTTTGGCTGGACTTTTGGCGGCCTGTAAGCGCTTGGTAATGTGTGCACGACGTCTTTTTTTCGTTTGCCTTTCAGAGCTGTGTCTCACCTGCATCCTGTCATGCAGTATTGTAAATGGTACTAGCTTGATTGGAATGCTATCTCTCCTTCTTTTCCGGAACTTCACCAGTCATTTTGACAAGTTAGACAGAAATTGACGGAGTGCTTGACAGATGATAACAAGGCTCACAAGATGGAGACAAGATTGTCCGGTATTAACATGTATGAGCTTGCAGGATTTGGTATGCTGACAAGCACTTCATGTGTGCCCCCAAGGTTGTTAAGGCAGATTTGATTTCTCAAAACGTTACAGGCTAACATGTACTGGTATTTTCACTATGTATTCCCATGTGGTTTCATATTAATTGACAATAGCAAACTATTAAACTCGAATCTGCAGTTCCTGATCTTTCGGTGGTGATCTGAATCGACAAGATAGAACTGCAACGTGAAGACAGGTTTGGCGTATCGGCGGGCAGCTTCATGTTTGTTCAAGCTGAATCAAGTATGAACACTATCGAATAAAAAAATGGAAAGCATGGACTCGATATCACTTGGAAATGTAGAAACGATTGAGGGAGCTATAGGTGTCCCGGTTAGTAAAGAAGCCGAAATTACCAGAAGAAAAAGTGCTTTTATAGGTGCATGAATTCCGCAGTGGGCAGCAAGGCGCTGTGCTGGCAGAGAGCTGGAGTCAACACCAGTCGCACTAAATTTACTGGCTGTTTCGTAGCTAAAGTACCACGTAAAGTCAAGTCAGCTAGCTACAGTCTCAGTCGCTGTGTATGCTGGGGCGTTTTAGGGAATGGGGCTGGAAACCCAAATTCCAGTTTGCCTTCGTCGCTTGCCCCTTGCATCAACTGGGGGAACAGGCTGGCGCCGCGCTCAACCCGACTTCCTGACACTTCTAGCATCCGTGGCGAATACAAGACCATGATAACTAAGGCAAAGGCAAAACAGTTTCTGCGCGTTGCATCAAAATTTCCCGTGCCATCCCCCGCATCTGGTAGGACAAGGCTACGGAAATCTTGAAATTTTCAATACTTCAACACCCTGTATGAAAAAATATAACTACAGAAAGCGAACTAGATTTCATAAGACCTAGATCTGCTCACCGTTTAAATGCCATAAACTGGACAATAATTTCATTCGTATTTAGTCCGTCGTTGATCTCGACAGCTCTACTGGGAAGAGTTGTTGATGTGACATCCACCATCACTGGTGGATCACCTTCACGATCGAATATTCCAGGAAACTGTAAAACACTCACCACATTTGGTTACAATAGCGAAAAAACTTGTAATTAGCCAAGGCTTGGTGATATCACAATGCGTGCTTAACGTACCTGCACATTTGAAAGAGCAGCGTAAACGGATCGTGGTACGTTGGAAACCCTGAAAATTGAGATGAAGATTAAAAAGTCATGACGCAGAGACTGAAGACTCCCCTTTGACCACTATTTTCAAAGCTTTCTCTGGATTGGACTTACATATACCTTGCGATGTAGAAAAACAATGCGGCATTATCAACCACTTGCTGTCCAAAATTCAGATCAGATTTCGATAAAACATTCTCGTTCGAAGTAAGCTCGGCCCAAGCTTTGTCCCAGGGCTAGTTTGACACTTAGAACGCAATGCTTGTACCCGTTTCATGCGGAATTGCCTGGCGTCCAGGTCACACGCAGTTTCTGCTCTGGCGCCCTTAGCGCACGCGGCAGGTGTTTTTACATCAAGTTATTTGGATATTCCTGCTCAGGACCCCCTGGCGACAAGTCGGCACCAAGTTCGGTGTTTTGAAGTGTTTTCGTGCCAACGCCTGTGGCGCTTTGCGAATTATAGCCAAGCGGATAGGATATTGGTTTCAAGGGATCAAGCTAACCCAAATGACAAAATTCTAGCCAGATTCAGTAGCGGAGAAGAGTTTCGGGCGCTGTTTGGCTTGGGAGGGACATCTTGCACTTTCGCTTGCTTCTTTTGCTAGTTCATGTTAACCAAGAGTTCTCATTCTGATGAGATGTGAAATTTTGTGAAGCTGCGAAATTGTACAAGTGAGCACATTAGCGAGTACAATTCACAGAACTTCACAATGTAACCTGTACAAGTTTCCGTGAGTTCTACTCGGTGCCCACACCAAGCCGAACTGCGCCATAGTTCGATCCAAGTTCGGCAAGGATTCAGAACAGTGGGCAGTGCACGGTAAATCGTGTCCACATGACTTAGACCTATCGTTGCGCTCCTGGCTTTGGAGGGGTCTATAAATCGGAGTAGATAGTAAAATTTCTACCTGGCTTCTTTAAGAGGCAATGCATAGCTGATAGGAAGATTTTGACGTGGTGATTCCTGCTCGATGACGCGGTCAATCTTCTGGTGAAGAATCGGAGTCGTGATCGGTGTCGGTTTCTTGAAAACGAACAAGAAATAGGTGCTATCCAGCATGTACATCTATCGCTAGCACAG